CGAGCGGCGGTGGCCGGGGGGCGTCCCCCCTCGCGGGCGAGGGCTGCCGGCGAGTTGGGCCCTGCCGCAAAATGGCGGCCACGGGCTCGAAGCTGCGCCCAGTGAAATGGCGGGAGCGCCCAGTTCCCGGATGCAGTGGCGCAGGGCCCGCGCGGGGCGCATGCGCGCGGGCAGGGGCGGGCCCGACGGGGCCATGTGACCCGCACCCCGCCCAGCCACGACCGCTAAGGCTGAGGGTGCTGTGGAGTCGGCCCCGCCCCCGCCCCGCCCCCACCCCGCCTCGCCAGGGCTCGCGGAGCCTCAGTTGCCCGTTTTCCTTACTGGGAAGGAACAAGGGAAAGGGTGTTCTTGTAATGTCTGTTCTTAGTCTCTTGACACGCCACACTCCCAGTTTGTAGCGTCCCGAGTTTCCAAGTCACTTTGTGGCGTTCGTGTTCAGAGTTCCTCTGCCGCTGTTCCGCGCAGTTGATAAGTGATTTTAGTCAGCATGCTCTGCTCCCTAAAATAGCCGGTTTCCCCTAAAATAGTCGGCCTGCCTAAGTTTCAGGTTTCCTGAGTGCAGCTCAGGTCCGTAGGATCTCTGGGGGGCCCGTTGGCCTTCTGGGCGGTCCCCCCCAATGCCTTGTGGCGCTCCTATTTTTATCGCTGGCTCCCGGCCTGAGTTTCTGCCCCGATGCGCTAATGAAACAGCCTGGCCTCTTGGGAGGCCCGCTGCAGTTAAGCAAGCACTCTCCCCTCCAGCATGCGACAGGGCGGCCAGGTACCTTCCGGGGGTTCCTGGGATAGGAGTTGGCTGCCCCCTCTTTACAACGGGGAGGAACTGGGGTGTAGGCCTGTCCGGGGCCCTGTGGGTAGTGAATGGAGGCCTCTCTTCACTGTTCCTTGGGGCTCCCTCCTTCCCTGTCAGTGATGATCGATGAGAAGAGGCAGGGAAATGGGGTGTGGCCCTTGGGGAGCCCTCAGTGCAGGGGAGTGCAAAGGCATAGGATGATAATTGGGTGTAGTTGAACTTGGAAGACTGAGTGCTAAAGAGGCAGCAGAACAGCCTTCTCCGGTTGCCCCAGAGTCCGTGTCATTTGTAGAAACTCGGGTGGGATGGGGGACGGGCAGTGAAGCCCTGGAGAACTTAAACGAGGACGTTTGCGGCAGGCAGCCATGGCATCGGACGAAGGCAAGCTTTTCGTTGGAGGGCTGAGTTTTGACACCAACGAGCAGTCGCTGGAGCAGGTCTTCTCAAAATATGGACAGATCTCCGAAGGTGAGGCTGGCGCACGCGAGGGGCAGACGGGCTGTGGGGGCTGCTGGGTGGTGACCTCGGAAGTCTTTCCACACAGTGGTGGTCGTGAAAGACAGGGAGACCCAGCGATCACGGGGTTTTGGGTTTGTCACCTTTGAGAACATCGATGACGCCAAGGACGCCATGATGGCCATGAACGGGAAGGTGAGGCAGCTCTGACACGTGGGACCCCTCTCCAGGCTGGGCGGTGGGTGAGGCCGCACCCAGGCTGACCTGGGCGCCCTCCGTCCTCCAGTCTGTAGATGGGCGACAGATTCGAGTGGACCAGGCGGGCAAGTCATCTGACAACCGCTCCCGTGGGTACCGAGGTGGCTCCACTGGGGGCCGGGGCTTCTTTCGTGGGGGCCGGGCCCGAGGCCGTGGGTTCTCAAGAGGTGAGTGCCATTTGGGGCCCTGGGCCCTCGGGGATGCGGGAGGCTGCGCTGGCAACAGTAGGGACTCACGCCCTTCCTGTTCTCCGTGTCCACAGGAGGAGGGGAGCGAGGCTACGGGGGGAGCCGGTTCGAGTCCCGGAGTGGGGGCTATGGAGGCTCCAGGGACTACTACGGCAGGTGAGGGGTGGGCCCTGGGCTTCTGGAGAGCCAAGCAGGTGGGTGTTGGGGAGGGCATTTTCCAACAGAGATGTTACAGGTGAGACAAGGCTGGCACCGTCAGGGAACGTGCAGAGCCAAAGAGTTAGGGTTGCGGCTCGGCACCCACGGACCCCGTAGCGGGCAGGCACCCTGGGGGGTGGCGGCCCAGGTGCAAACCGTATCTGTGCTTCCTCAGCCGGAGTCAGGGCGGCGGCGGCTATGGTGACCGGAGCTCGGGCGGGTCCTACAGAGACAGCTACGACAGCTACGGTAAGTGGCGCTCCGAGAGCACTACGCTGCTGTGGCCCACCGTGGGAGCCCGCTGTGCCTTGGTGGTCTCTGCCTGGCCTCTGCCGGTGTCTTGGGCGTGACCCTCAGACCTCGTCACTGTGCTTGCCCATAAGGAACAGTCCGTCCCACCACAAAGCAGAGATGTAAAACCAGGCTGACCGGAAAGAGCGAGTGAGGCCGCGAGGTCTCCCCCGCGTGCATGTGCGGCATTTGCCCGCCGCCCTCAGCTCTGGGGGGTTGGTGCGCTCAGGCCACAGGCCGAGCCCTCCAGGGCCGGCCGCGGGGTGAGGAATGCTCAACTGTTGCTGCTTCGGTGCCTTTACACTATGCCTGCTTCTTGTTCTCAGCTACACACAACGAGTAAAAATCCTTCCTGCTCAAGATCGTCCTTCCAATGGCCGTATATTTAAAGATTTTGGGAGCTTCGCTGAATCGTTCATGTGTAGTGAACACATCTTGTATTTCCCCTTTTGTAGCCCTTTTGGTTCCAATCTGTCAAACACAGCCTGACAGCTTCTGAGCCCGAGAGGGCCCAGGTTTAGAGTTTGAGAAAGAGCTGTCCCTTTTAAGGGTTCTGAGAACGTTCTGGAAAGCACTTCAGATCTCACCCTTTTATTTTATCACGAGCCATGAGTTTTGTTTTTTCGAAATGGTCGGGGGTTGTGGGTGTGTCTTTTGGGAGGTTGCATAGCCATTTTTCTTTCTCTTTTTGGCACGTGGCCCCGTGAAGTTGGGTGCCTCCGTGCACTTGTTTGAAATTGAAAGGACTCTGATCCGCTCTTTATCGGAAGCTGAGCAAGCTGTGGCTTTTTTCCAACTCTGTAATGTTCTGAGCATAGCAGGGTAGGACGCAGCCCCAAGGATACAGCAGCCCCAGGTCTGCCCTGAGCGCTGCCCACCTGTCCCACCTGCACAGAGCTCTCTGACTCGCTGTAAATGCCTACAGTAGACTTTCAGACGTCCCTGAGAGGGTCTTGAAAATGTTTATTTATATTGTCCTTTTTTACTGGAAGACGTATTGCATATTCCATTGATGTTGTATTTGAAGTGGTTAAGGAATTCTTGTACGCAGTTCTCTCTGGCTTCACGAAGCCGATTAAAAGACCGTCTGAAACGAACCTTGCTCTGACCATCTCCCTTTCATTGCACAACACACCCTGCTGCGGCCCATGGCGGCCGCCCGCACAGCTGGGCAGTGTGAGGACAGGCCGCAGGGAGCTAGCCGAGGGGACCGAGTAGACGGACAGCTGACAGCCACCAGTGGCGGCTAGGTGAGGCGACGGGTGACGGGCGTGGGCAGCGCAGACGGCAGAGCAGCCCCGGGGGCTCCTGGTGGTACAGCCAGAGGGCTCAGAGGGCTGGGCAGCGTAGTGGGACGGACGTGGACACGCAGGTACCCGACGCTGATCTGACGGCCAGCGGCCGGCCAGGCCCGCAGAGTGGGCGGCCCCAGGGCGACAGACACTGAGTAGCTAGTCTGCCGTTGCTTTACAAGTTCTGAGCGTTCTCTGCTAGCCTATGGAAGCTGCAGCCCCCTTGGAGAACAGAAGTGTTGTGCGCCCAACAGAAACCTCTGAGACGAAAGCTGCTTCCTTGGCTAGCTCATATGTGGAAATAGCCCTGTAATTCGAGGTAACTCCTTTCGCTCGTGCCCGCATCCCTCTCGTCAAGAGCTCATTTCAAAGTCACGTCATATGCCCGGGGAATGTTCCTTTGACTGGCTTTTGGTTTTCCTTTTTCTTTTTGATTTTTAAACAGCTGGAACTAAATCCGCCCAGCCCCAGCTGCTTGCTCTCCTGCCTGCAGCCAGGCTGGTGGCTCAGGCAGTCACGCCTCGCTAGCAGGACTGGAGACCACCAAACGCCCTGCCTTCGGGCTTTTTGTGCCTCCACTGACCGTCTTCTCCAACCCTCCTAAGCCACTCTCCTAACCAGAGCTTTCTCTGATTTCTTGTTGCCGCCATTAGATTTTTTTTCCCCAGAGTCCACACCGATCTCTAAGCAGCTGCTTCCCATGGGGGCAGCTGGCTCTGCTTAAGGGTGGACGTGGCATTGGCCGTGTCAGAGGTGCAGGCCCTCTGGGCACACCTGCCCGTGAGGGTGACCTGTGATGTGATGGGCCCGGTGGCTAGCTTTGAGACCCTCGTAGGAGCTGTGGAAGGTTCTGGGAGGCAGGGGGGCAGCTGTGAACCCTGGCCAGGACCCGGGAGTAACGCTCTTTTGCTTTGGCAGGTTGAAGGGCAGCAAATCGGAACCCAGGAAGAAGGACAAGAGCGGCCACAGCCTCAGTTTCAGGAGGGACAGTCCTAGATCAGTTTTCCAGGGGAGTGAGAGCCAGAGATGCAGCTGCCTGCAGCCAGCCTGGCCCTGTGAGTGCGCCTCACCCTGGTCTCTTGATCCGTGTGCGCCGGCCATGTGGGTGCCTTGCTGCGTGTGGGGTTTGGGCAGGGAGCTCCTTACTTTCTCCTTGTTTTTCTGCAGGTATTTCGTTGGAGGGCTGGGCGCTGGCTCCACAGCCCAGCACAGGCCTCCGTCTGGTGGTGGCTTGAAGAGGGGATGGCACCTGGGGGGTCAGACTGGAATAAAGGCCCACGTGTGCACCGGCTTCTTTGTGTCTCTGGTCTGGGGGTGCCAGCAGGGGTGGGTGCAGGAGAGGGAAGCTGAAGTATCCTAGGGCCGGGGCTGTCGAGTGGAGCAGTGTCTGGCTGTGCTGAGGGCAGGAGCTGGGTCGTCTTATCTTCTGGAACTATGAAGTGCCCAGGTGCGCTGAGGGCAGGAGCTGGGTCGGTTCATCCTCTGGGACTGTGAAGTGCCCAGGTGTGCTGCGGGCAGGAGCTAGGTCACTGGATCATGTGGGACTGAAGTACTGGGTGGGGAGCCCTGCAGGGAGGGCACAGGCCCAGGATCTCATCAGTGTTGGGGAGGCACTCCCGGCTGCTTCAGTCTGCCACGGGCTCTGGTCCTGGGCTCGGGGCCCTGGGCGAGCCCCCTGGTCCTGTTGCTTTCCCCTGCTGGGCTCTGTACCAGCCACAGGGGCCACCACATCAGGGCTCTGTCTGCCTGGCAGGGTGGGGGCAGCAGCCCCAGAGCTCTTGGCCCAGCCTGGCCACAGGTCAGGCCCCATCCCTCCTGGCCCTGCTGGGCTGGTGGGGGCTCATGCTTCGAGCATCAGAGCAGCTGGGAGGACAGGAGGTGCCGTCTGCTCAGGGCTGGCTGGCTGTCCTCCCACCTCCTTCCAGGAGCTAGGGCCAGCAGGACAGGGAAGGCTGAGTTGGGTCTGTGGTGGGGAGGCCCAGACTTGAGGGAGAAGGAGTGATGGTGAACACCAGGTTTTAGCCTGCCTGGAGGCCCCACAGCTGTTTCCCAGTTAGACTGGTCCCATAGACAAGGAAATTCGCACAGCCTGGTGCTCCACGGTAAGCCACGTCGGCTGCGTCCTTGGCCCTGTTCCAGGAGGCACTTGAGGTCCCTGGCTTGGTCCCCCTCCAGTTTCTCTCAGCGCCCCACATAGGGTGCCCACGGTTGTTGCTCAGCGATTGCTGGGTGCCATGCTGCCTAACCTGTACCGCCTGACACCCAGGCATTTCTGCCGTGCCCCACGCGAGGGGACCCAGTTCCCAGGGAAGCTCAGACACTCGCTCACCCAGTCCGCACAGCTAGGAGGAAGCGCTCTGAGGCTGTGGCAGGCTTCCTGTCCCGAGGGGCCACAGCTCTTCGCTGGTTGAGCCTCCCACATCCCGGTCCCTCCTACCCTCCCGGTGCCCAGCCCATATTTCTGCTGCTTTCTCTGGGTGAGAGCATGGAGCAACTTACCAGCTTTTGAGAATCAGCTTGGGCTTTCTTGTGAGACAGTTCCTCTCCTTTAGAGAAACCCAAGGACAGAAACTCAGAGGACTTGGGAGGATTTTGGCCCCCTTCCAGGTTCCCTGCCCCTCTCCTGGTCTGAGGGCTGTTATGGCCAGCTGGTTCCCTATACAAGAACCCCCCTTGAATCCAGCCTTCCTGACCCCCAGGCCTGGGGGTGTCAGTCCACCTCAGTCCGGGGGCCTCCTCTGGGCTCGGGCCGCAAGCAGGTGGGGAGCCCTGTGGCCTGCACCTCCGCTGGCACTACCCTGCCCCTGTATGTACAAGGATGGTGATCCGTGGTCAGGAGGGACCACCCCCGATGCTCTAAATGACAGTGGGCGCAATGCCGTGTGCTGGTTACAACAACCCTAGGCTTTGCCTGGGGAAAACAGGCTTGGAGCAGAACGGAGGGCCGTGCCCCCCGTCCCCACAGTAATCAGGCGGGGCGGCGGGGCGGCGGGGCGCTCTGGGTAACGCCCAGGGGTGAAAAGAGGTAGCGACCATGAGGCGGGGCCGGAGCCTGGCTGGAAGGCGGGGAGCTTCCGGGTGCCGGGCCCCGCCCCCCGCGGGCTAGTGGCCGGCACCGCCCCCGCGCGGTGTGAGTGACAGCCGCTAGCGGGGGCGGGGCGCCGCCACCGCTTCTGTCGGGCCATGGGGCCGCAAGTGGGGCCGCAAGTGGCGCCGCCGCCGCCGCTCTCGCTGCTGCTGCAGGCTTTGCTGCTGTCAGCACTGCTGTACGGCGCCCAGGGGGCCACGCTCTCGACGCAGCCCACTGCGAAGACCACGCCTTCGTCGCCGCCGCCGCCCGCCGTGACGAACGACAGCCAGCCGGGCTCGCCGCACAATGGCACACACCCGCTGAGCTCGCCGGGCTCGCCGCTGCTGCGCTCTTTCTACGTGCTCACGGGCATCAGCGGCCTGGCCGCGCTCTACTTCCTCATCCGGGCCTTCAGGTGCGTCAGGCGTACGCCGCTGCCACGCTGGCGCGGCCAATCAGCGCGCTCCTCCCGCGTCACGTGTTGGGTCGCGGCTCCTCCCGGCCCCGCTGGAACGGGCGTGGACGGCGCTGTTCCTGCCTTGTCACGTGATTCGACGGGGGCCATGTGGTCACGTGAGTCACTGACCCCCGGCTGGCGGTGGTTCGCTGCTTGGCGTAGGTGCCGCTTCAAAACGTGGGGGCGATACTGTGCATTTCGCAGACGGAACACCCGAGGCCAGAGAGTGCTTGGGCGGTGTTGGGACGCGAATCAGATCCCCTGCTTCCTCCTCCCCTGGGGCCCCGCGCTGGGCTTATTCCCGATCCTCCGCCCGGCCGCAGTCACGCTCCTGGCACGTCTTCTTCTCCCCCTCCGCCTTCTCTTTCTCCCACATTTCTCCTCTTCCTTCCGGAGCCCTTTCTCGGCGGCGGGTTAACTTTGGCAGCCTTTGGGGTCTGCCTTTTAGTGTCTTTTTGTTCACACGTGTTTCCGCTCTCGGCCAAGAGCTTTCTGAGGCTTTCCTGTCTTTTTGCTTTTCTGCCATCTCTCCTTGCCGAGGCGCCCGCCGATTGAGTCTTATTTGATCAGCCCCCAGCCCTGGGAAGTGAGGGTCATACCACCATCCCTACCGTATAGGTGAGAGGCGGGCCCATCCAACAGTCAGTTACCGGCCCAAGATGTAAGCTGTTGAGGCTTCGGGCAGCCCCCTCCGTGGGATCAAGCTTGCGCCCACTCCCCACCCTTGCAGCGCTTCCTCCTGCTTTCAGAGTTGGACGTTGGTCACTTTCTAGGTGTTGTTAATTGTCATCCCTAAAGAGGAATGTGTTTCTTTCTGTTCTTTTTCCCACGGCCCCTGCCCATCCAGGCCCCTGTGGCGCCCCTGGTCCGTAGCCCAAACCTCCTGTCGGCCCGTAACTGGTCTTTGGCATCCTCCCCTGCGCTGACCTCCCGAAGGTCCTTTATCTTATCATACAGAGCTGACCATGTCCCTCCCCATCACCCTGGTACAAATCCAGTCTTCTCGTGACTACGCGGCCTCTCTCTCTCCCTGCCTCTCCCTTCCTTCGTCCGCCAGCACCGTGGACACAAACACGCAGGCACGAAGTTCTCCTGGGCATTGTCCTTCACCGTGCCTCTGCTCCCTCCCTTCTCCGGCCTCCGTGGTGGCTTGGGCCTGAGAACATCCTCCATTAGGATGGGTGTCTCTGGAGAACCCTTCTCCCTTTCGGAGGATCAGTCTTTTCATCAGTAAAATGGGAAGATCACAGTCCCTCCCTGGCGGGGTTTTGGTGCAGGTGAGATGGGCGAAAAGCCCCCCATGCAGGGCCCACCAGCGGAGGGACCCACTAACCACAGTGTTGGTGTTGGTAGGTGCCATCGAGTGGGTTCCGGCTCATAGTGACCCCATGTGACAGAGCAGAACTGCTCCATAGGGTTTCCTCGGCTGTGATCTGTACGGGAGCAGGTTGTCACGTCTTTCTTCCGCAGAGCTGGTGGTGGGTTCGAACTGCCAACCTTTCAGTTAGCAGCTGAGTGCTTAACCGTTGTACCACCGGAGCACTTCGGTTGTGATAAGAGCACTTAATTATCATTGTCGCCATGATGACACAAAAGAGATAGCCTCAGCTGGCCCGTGAAGGTTTGCCAGGAGTCAGCACCTTGGAGGCCCCGGGAAGGAGGGAAGCAGGAGCGGGTGTCAGCGGCAGCTGGCGGGTGGGACGCCTGGGGTGGACATGAGCAGATCTGGATCTCTTCCAGGTTGAAGAAGCCACAGCGGCAGAGGTACGGCCTCCTGGCCAACAGCGAGGACTCCGCCGAGATGGGCTCACCCGACAGCGACGAGGAGACCGTCTTTGAAACAAGGACTCTGAGATGGTAGCACAGCCCCTCTCCAGGGGCTGTGGGTGGGCTGGGGTCCTGTGGAGGGCAGCCGTCCGCGTGACTGGGAGACGTGGTGGTTAGGCCCCAAGCGCTGGCTGTGCGTCACAGCAGGCTGGGTGGCTTCCGGTCGAGCGTAGCCCTTTCTTGGCCTTAGTTTTCTTTTAAGACAGGAGAGAGGGCGCCACACTGGAATTAGTGAGTTTTCTAAGGGTGCAGTGGGACGAGGTGGGTGTACGGGAATGAGAAGGATCTCTCCTCTATGTTGCGGGCCGGGCCAGTGGGGGGAGAGGGGCAGGGCAGGGTGGGGTGGCTTCCCCGTGGCCCCCAGAGCAACCAGCCCGGGGAAGGACACTTGGGGCAGAGGCCCTGAGGCCAGGCAGAAGTGAGCAAGAGGGGCTGGGATGCAGAGCCAGACAGCAGGGCCCCAACAGGGTCTGGGGGTCTCTAGGACTCAGCACGGCTGCTGTGGGGGGTGGCAGGCGTGGGAACAGTCTGGACGCTGCAGCCTGTCCCCAGGAGTGACGTTACAGTCTGTCATTGTTACCATGCTCTTTAGCGTACGTTGCTTTTTCCCTTGACTAAGAGGTGTCTGTGGTCCGTCGGGGTGGGCTCTAGTCTGGGAACCTCTCAGTGACATCTCTGTCACTTCCCCTGGCTGGGAGCCCCCCTCCTCCCAGGTGGGTGGCAGGAAGGACCTGGGCAGCCAAGGGAGGTGGACCCCGGCGGGGCCGACAGGTTGGGGCAGAGCTCTCCTGTCTCAGCCATTTGCAGGCAAGCCTGGGGGCAGAGGTGCCAAGCTCCTCCTCGGCTGCCTCATCCCTAACCCCTCATGCCTCACCTTCCAGATGCCCCAGTGGTGGTGGCGGCGTTCCCAGCAGCCCCAGAGGAAGGACCAGGGGCAGGGCCGGCTCCCATGCCCAGTGGTGCCTGGCCAACTCTCCTGCTGGCTTTGGTGAGGGCTTGATTAGGTGGCAGCCCCAGGAGCGCCTGTCGGAACCTGCCGAGCACACCCGAAGCAGCCGCAGCCAGCCCCACCCTAGAGCCTGAGAACCCCGCCTGGACTCTGCGGTCTCCTCGTCTGGACTGTGACTGTGGCCGCTCCACCTCCCTGATGGGGTGCAGTATCGTCGAGCTGAGGGCGGTTGGGCAGGCGGATCTGTCAGGAGCGCCTGCGTGCTGGATTAGGGACAATAAAAGTGGTAGTGACCACAGCTGGTGACCGACTCCGTGCCGTGCCGTTGCTGGGAGCCAGACCCAGGCGTCCTGACTCCGAGCACAGCAGTTGGGGCAGATAGCAGAGCAGAGGCTTGGGCCGGGCCTCAGTTTCACCTTCTGTGACCAAGCTGGGCTTCTGTGGCCGCACCTGCAGCTGTCAGAGGATCAGTGAGCAACCCCATGTGGTAGATGGAATGAGTGATGGGGGACCCGCCTCACCTGCCCACATCGGGCTTCTCCAGCTGCCTGGGACACCTGTCGCCTCTGGGCCTAGAGAGAACTCCTATTCATCCATCAGAGCTCCTGTCCCGGGATCCTGTGTTGTGCCACCCTCAGCCTGGGGCCCCTCAAGGGCTGTGCCTTCTGCAATCCCGGCCTCACCCCGCAGCCCCAGGGCCTCAGCTAAAGGAGGCTGGAACTCCTGTGGCTAGAGGACTCCTTGTTCCTGGGTGTCCCTCTCGCATCAGCCTCCTGGGGAATCTTTGAAGAATCTGAACCACCATCCTGGGCAAGGGGGCTTGTTCCTCATGCAGGCCCCATACCCTGGGCGAAGGCCAGCCCGGGCGTGTCACCCCCTTCCCTCGGAAAGTTGGCCCTGGAGACATGGCGAGGAGGGGCTGGCGTGTGGCTCCTGCAGCCTGAGGTCTCTCCTGGGCGGCTTGAGGTTCTTCCCCAGCCAGTGGGCCAGAGCTGCTGCCGCTTCTGTGTCATAAAGCAGAGTCGCCACCAGGTGGCAGCCTTGTGCCGCCCGCCCTTATTTCTGATGACTGCCTAGTCTTGGGGTGGCCTGTGCTCGGCCTGGCCTGGGGTCGGGGGCGTCCGGAGGGGACCCTGGGAGCTGGACCTTGTACGGGTTGGGGAGGGGGTCCAGCCTGGTGCCCCACTTCTCACTCCCATGCTGAGCCACACCTTGTCCGCATTCCCAGCCAGGACGTTTCGATCCCTGAGCCCATCTACCTCGCAGCCCCAGCCAACCCAACCTGCCAGCAGCCAGGGTGCAGAGGATTCATGCCGATCTCATGTCGGGTGGTCTCCTTTCTCTGCAGTCATGGTCGTCTGTCCTCACCCTTAGTGTGCTCGACCAGCTCCTTTCACGTGTCCCCTCCCCCTTTGGTGTCTCTGGGCCCTTCCTTGCCTCAGCCACCTTTTCAGTTGCTGCCTCCAGGAAGTCCTCCCTGATTGCTCTTTCAAAAGACCCTGCACTTGGGGGCCTGTGTGTCCTCTAGGGAAACTGGCAAAGCAGCTGCTCAGATGCCTCTGGAGTGGGGTCCGGGCCTGAACCCCAGAGAGGCCTGAGGCGGCAGTAGGGAGGGCAGCTTGGCCTGGCCGTGCTGGGGCTTGGGGAGCAGGTGGCCTCTGTCTGGTCTTACTCGTCTGTTTCCTCCATGGATCTCTTTTTGGGTCCCTGTGTATCTCTCTGTCTTCTCCTGTCTTTCTGTGTCTCTTGTCTCTGACCCACAGGGACAGGCGTGAAGACACTGTTCCGGCCGCCACCCAGTGCTCAGTGCCCCTTCCCACAGCTTCCAGGCTCTCGCCAGCTTCAAAAAGCACGTTAATTACTCTAATGAGGTCAGGAGAGACTCCACACACACACGCCATTGCGCACTGGGAGCATGTGGCCCCAGCCTCTCCCCGCCCCGCCGCCTGTCAGCGCCCGGCCCGCGGCCCCCAGCATTACAGTGGGGTAATTGGCAGTCCCGCCAAGGTTAATGCACCATGAGCAGGAAGTGCTCGGCAGCTAAAAGCCGGGAGAGGGGCTGTCAGCACGAGATGAAAGGCCCAGCGTCCCGGCCGGCTCAGTGCCCGGGTGTGTGTGTGTGCACGCATGTATGTGTGCACAGGGGAGGGGGCTGCTAGCCCCTTCCACCACCTCACATGCACACACACGTCACCAAACACCACCGTGCAGTCACACAGCACAGGAGAGTCACATAGTGGCATGTGGACATGCCCACGGGACACCAGCCATCATCCCCCTCATCCGGGGTCCTCCTGCAATGGACTCTTGGTCCCCTCGAGGTGGGATGCTCAGTCTCGCCCAGCCTTGGCCCCCAGGAGGAGCAGCGTGTAAGCCCAGTTGTCTGCTGCAGTCCAGGCCGGGTCTCCGGGCCTGGGTTTGAGTCCTGCTTCCATTGACCCCAAGCCTCAGCTGCTCCACCTGGGGTAGGGTGGTGGGCAAGTAGGATCCCTGGAAGGGGCTGCTTGTGCCTGGCACCTCGGGCTTGGATCTGGGGACTGTCTTCCGGGGGAGGGGAGGTTCCCTCTGCCAGCTCCAACCTGGGGTTCCCACTGACATGGCCCTCACCCAGCATGCTGGGAGCTGGCCCCAGCCCCTTGACCCTCACCCTCTCTAGGGAGTGCCTCATTCCACTGCCTAGCTCCCTCTTCTGGGGGGTCTGAGCCACCCCTGCCTGCCAGAAGCACCCCCTAAACACTGCCACAAGCATCCTTGTCTCCAGCACATGCAGCTTCCTTCGTGTGTGACCATCCCTGGCCCCCAGAAGCTTCTAGAGCTTGGGGTCTGATCGAATGAGACGTGGCTGTTTAGATTAATTAATGCTAACTAAGATGAAGAACTGTGGTCCTCGGTCGCTTTGCCATTTCCAGGGTCCAGGGTCTGCTGTGGCTGATGGCTGCCGACTGGACAGCACAGGTATAGAACGATCCCATGTCATGGAAGTCCTGTGGACAGCTGGGGCCGTCCCCTGGCTTGTGGGCTGTCACCATGGAGGACCATGGGGTCTGTGTCCAGGTGCTGGAGCTGGGAGGAGGGAGGGAGGGAAGGAGAGTAAGAAGGGGCGGGAGGGAGACAGCAGGCACCAGTAGGGCCCCCCTCCCTGGCCTGGCAGGGTTGCAGACAACTTGAGATCAGGGCTGGGATTCCGGACCTGGCTGGATGTGGTTAAGGACAGTTTAATTTTCCATAAGAAGAGAGGAACACGTCTTTATATTCAACGACAGTCACCCGGAACCCTAGGGATGCCCTTTGACACTCCTGGGGACAGGTTGAGGAGCTTGGGCACTGAAGACTGGGCTGTGGGAGCCCTTCCCCCACCAAGCCCCAGGCCTGGCCCCGGGAGCCCACTCCCTGCCTGATAGTCGCCAGGGATCCTAAATTGCCCGACCTAGCTAGCGGGCAGAGGATCTGGTCCAATTTATTCTGTAATGAGAAATTTCTCCCCGCATATTTTTAGCTGCCTGTGCGGCGTTGTGGCCTTTCAAGGCTGAGGGGCAGCTAGATGCTGATCTTGAGCCCCGAGGACTCACCCTGGGGCCGGAGCAGCTGGTGGGCAGTGGGCAGCAGGCAGGGGACAGTGGGTGGCAGGCTCAGGCTGGGGGCCCGGGCCAGGTCTGGGCAGGACAGAACTCGTCCCCCTGAGCCTGGCAAGAACCCTGAGCCCAAGGGTGCAGGCCGGCTGGAGGGGGACAGACCCCCATCAAGTTCCTGGCCTGGGTGTAGGTCTGGGGCTGGCACCTGACCCTGGTTGAGCCTTGAACCCAGCACTGACCCCTGATCTCTGACCCTTGACTTCAAAGGAAGACTGGCCCGAGCTGACCCCTCCTGGCTGAGCCCCAGGCAGGTCAAGGTGTCGGGCTCCCACAGGGCCCACCACTGTGGGTAGGGGTCCGTGCCCTCCTCACCTCGCTTGGGGCCGGGCCTCCAGCCACCTCCCGGGCCTCCCCCCCACCCCAGCCTTTCCTGGCAGCAGCCAGCGGCGGGAGGTTGAATGGGGGACGCCGGCTTTGTTCCTGTCCCCACTCGGCTCTGACCTTGAGAGAGACAAGGACAGAAGAAAACCGGGAGCGTCTGCTCGAGCCCCGCTCCGGCACCTGCATGCAGACGAGCCAACCCACGGCCCCGCCACACCCCACACAGCCCTCCTCCCCTCGCCCGGCAGCCTGGCAGAGAGACCCTCACAGTAAGCCCCCGTAAAGGAGGAGGGGATCTTGGCTGAGAGCGGAGAGGTTCCAGGGATGCACACCTTGACAGGGGGTCCCTGGACCAGGCTGTACCCCCCACCTCCCCAAGAAGACCCTCCCCCTGCTCTTAAAGAGGTTCAGGATGCCCCCCACCCCCAGCCTGGGACCCCCAGGCCCCGTGTTGCCCCTCACACAGAGGTGACTGAAGGTTCGGGCCTGCCACGGTTGTGGGCTGAGGGTCAGTTGCGTCCTCCTCCTTGTAGCCCCCAGGGGGGTTCATCCTGGGGCATCTGTGGTCGGGGCAGGGGTAGGACCTCAAACCCAGGACAAGTAAGTATCTCCGGAGGGCAGAGGACTGAGAACCTTGTCCTTTTGGGGAGGGGGCAGGCGGGAGACAGGCCTTGAAAGATGAGCAGAATTTCAGTGGGACAAAAAGGGAAGGATTCCAGGCAGAAACACGGCTTGAGCAAAGGTCAGGGGTACAACTAGGGAGGGGTGTGGCGGGGAGGAAACTCAGAGACACGTAACACACCCTCCCCAAATGGGAAGTGTGCAGCTGGGTGGGTATGGAAGCATCCGGGTTTCTCCATTCACCATCCTCGTCTTGCTGTGTGGTGCCAGTAAGTTAGCCCAGTCTCTCTGGGTTCTCGTGATCTCTGCAAGGGGTGTGGATGATCCCTCACACGGGGACCTTCCCATCCAAGAGCTCTGGGCTCCCAGCCAGGGGTTCCTCCCCTTGCTCCAGGCCCTGGCCAGTGAAGCAAACCCACAGAGATAGCATCTGGCTGGGTCCTGCGGGCACTTTCCAGCCAGCACTTGGTGACGGCGTACCCTCCACAAGCTCAGAGCCTGGTGAGGAAGTTGTGGCAATAAGGACAAAAATAGAGGTTTGGGTCCTCACTTTCTTGCCTGTAGTCAGCTTCTGGGGGAGTTACCACTGGGAGTTCCCAGAGCAGCTCAGATGCTCTGTCTGGTGGACTCCTGAGTGTAGACTTACTGTTGGCCTGGATCTTTCTCTGGACTCTCACCCTGGGCTGCTTGGATTCTACATGTATTGAACTCTGTGCCTGGCACCGTTGACGGTGGGGGGTGGGGGCGCTAGGTACTCCTGTTTCTCATGATGGACGAGGGAATCGAGGCCCAGAGA